TCCCTTCCTCATGATTTTACATGCCCTGTAGCAAATTTTTTAAAAAATGATGATAAATAAAATTAAATAATTCCTTAAAAAAAAAAAAAGAATAACATAGCTCATGATCCAGGCCGTACTTAAAGTAAGAAACTTCTAAGTTCTGGGGGTTTTGTTTTTTGTTTGTTTGTTTGTTTATTTATTTTGGCCACAAGGCACAAATACAGAGAGTATGTGGGTAAGAGGGGGGGAAGGTAACCTCACTGCCACCCCCACTGTAAAAAACAGTCAAACTGCAATTCTTTCTCCTCATGTCCACCCTGTCAGGACTTTGGAGACAAACACAAACGAGTCCAGAGTGTTTCTCAAGCCACCGTGTTTAGTGCTCACATCATGAGCTTGGCCAAGTTTGGTCTGGCTACTATAGCCAATAAGCCATGGAGCCAGTCCTAATGTTTTTATAATGTTACTTCAACTTAATCTGGAAAACATTTCTTATTAATATTTTTCATATCTTCTGAAGGAATAAATGGTCAAAGTTGATAATTTGCCAAATACAGCTTTTTGCATCATTAACACTTTTAGAGTTGAGATTACATCTTGAATTTTTGAACTTAGGTTCATAGCCATTGTAGAAGTAAGCAGTGTACATATTTCTGATTCACCGCGAGAACCGTACTGATAACTGGGAGTGTTTTCCCATGACTTTGGCCAGACCATTTCTTTGTAAAAGTTTATCATTCATTTCATTGAGCACCTAATGAAGTAATGGTCATGTAGGTAGGTATAGAGGGGTTTTCATGGGAAGTAGGTACTGCATCTTGTTTGGTTTTTAAGTTTCTTTCGTGAGCGAGAGAGACAGATGTACTCAGCGGTGTCTTGGAGCATGATCCATAAAGCTTCCAGCGCTGCGGGGCATTGCAGTGCCACAGCCCTGCTGCAGCCAGGCCTGTGCTGTATCTCAGCGCACCGCCCATATGGCCCAGCGCGATGCTGACATGAGAGTCCTTGCAAAGGAACGGAGCCCAGCATCGTGGACTTACCGTGTCCGTCATAGACTCATCTCTGCTCCTGTGAGTGCAGTGATGACCAGAGCTCTCATGTTTAAGTTGTTCTTTCCCTTTCCTATTCCACCCCAGCACCAACATTCCCGTAAGGAAAGTACTTAGAGATTCCACTGTAACCATGAAAGATTCAGACATGGGCCAACTAGAAACTTAGAAAAAGCATGCTTACTTTCAAAGCCTCGTCTGAACATAGCCTTCTTTCTCTGAGCCCGATGTACGGTAGAGTATAATGTAAGGCATTTGCCACATAAAGTAGTAACTTCAATGGAGAAACCATGCCCTCAGCCACCAGATTTTGAAAAGGTACATTGTGAATGTCTGTACATTAGGAGTTTAGTTTTAAGCCTATTTTCTCATTAAAAATGTGTTCAGAGAGTCCAAAGTATGGTAAGAAACAACAGATGGCATGGAGGGGTGCAGGAAGTGGATAGTGCCTGCTTACGTGGGGAGAGAACTGTGTGGAGCCGGGACAAGGATAAGAGCTGTGGCCTTGGGCTACGTGGTAGCCAGGTGTAGTTAACAGGATGGAAGGGGAGAAGAATACTCCATAAGACCTGGAGAGAAAACAGTGTCTCTTGATAGTGATAGAGTAAGTTAATGCTGGCTTCTTTATTTTTTCTTTTTTGGAGAGATTTTTGCTATAGGGCATGTGCGCTCACCTGTGAGACAGACAGAATGTGAGAAATCACACACACCCCCAAGGAGGGATAGCCACACCGCAGTCCCTTCTCTTCCTTTCTCCTCTTGGGATTTTGGGCATGCATGTATATGTGCCCTGTGTGAGTTTAAGCCTCCAGGTCGGGACTCGAGCTACAATCAACTGGGAGTCCAGCAACGTAACTATTATGCCATCTCCTGGTTCCTATTTTTCTTTTTTTTAAGTTTATTTATCTAGTCCATGAAAGGGACTAGAGAGAGGGAGAGTCACCCCTCAACAAGATCCTAAGTCAGTCAGGGTCACAGGCACATACATCCCTAGCACGCACAAGGAAACATCCGGGTACAGCCCTGGGACCTTCTCACAGATTGTCACGTCACTGCTGTGCCACTATGGCTGACCTGTTAATGCCATCTGTTCATAGGGACAAGTTTCCATAATGGAGTAGATAGTTGAGAAAGAAAGTGGACAACATGTCATACATTTAATCTGTCAATAGAGCTTACACTTTTCCATATGCACGTGTGTGTGTGTGTTCTCCTAGTGAGAGACAGAGTGCGCAGGATGAGGAGAGGCAGGGACTGAAGAGAGGACTAAACCTGACCAGGGTCTCGACATGCCCCAGCCCCCCCGTAATAGGACCACAGGCATGGCTCTTGTGCCAGCTTGCCAGGTGGCTGGGAACCAGACCCGGGCCTTTCAGGTGACCCTGCCACTGTGCAGCAGTCCTCCTCACATGCAGCCCAATGGCTGGGCATTTTCTTTGCTTTGCTTTCCTAGTAACTTGGAAATGGGGGAAAGGACAGAGACTTTTATCCTCACCAGGCTCTCCCTGCACTGCAGTTCTTGGTTCTTGCTCCCCTACCTCCAGTTAGCTAGGACCACAGGCAGGTGTTCCACCGTGTCCAGCCTGCTTAGGGTGTGTCAGGAACAAACCCAGGCCTCTCGTGTGGCCCAGCCAGCACATGGCTGTGTCTTCCCACCTGGGTCACCTAGGCTAGGTCCAGGATCTATTATATATTTCTGTTACCTCATGTAACATCAAACATAGGAGGTATGAAAGAACAGTTTGAAACTGCAAAAACATAACTGTGGCTGGATTAGTCTAGGTCTAGAGACTAATACAATCTTAAGACACAATCTTAAAATCATCAGTATACTAAATTTAGCATGTTGAATTTGTTTTCACTGAAGACAAATGCTATATTGCACCAATCTAAAGTATAAAATAATATATCCTATGTAAATGGGCTTTATATTATGACTTTAAAGGTACCAGAAAACCGCATTGACTGTAATTGTTTTGTTCAGCCCCAGCAACCTCTAGAAGATCTTGATGCTCAGTTAAGAAGAACACTTAGTCCAGAGACTGTCGCTGTGGCATCAGCCCTTGGTGTAAGTTTGACAGTCTTGAGAAAATCCCATCATTGTGATGGATTACATCCCTGAACACATACTGTAACCTGACCCCTTGTTAATACCTTTCAGCTCCTCAGAGTCCCTCCTTCAGCCAGCCAACAGAGATAAGACAGATTAATGAAAGATTCCAATAAACAAAATAAAAAGCTCCCATGTTTACAGTATTTAGTTTCCACTATAAAAAGTAAAGAACATTTCCTTGTGCACAAGTGGGTTTTGTACATATAGTATCTTTCTACCTTTTTATAACATGGGAAAGCAACAGGGCAAAACTTAAGAATGACTGAAGCTAAAGGTCTTATGGTATCTGTGTGTGTGTTTTGCAGCCTGTGTCCACGGTGTCTCCAGCAGCAGTTACAGAAGCAGGAGCACAGCCTCAGAAGGATGGTGAGAAACAGCCTTCTTCTGTTTCTATTTCCAGTCCACCCTTTAATGTATTAGAGATGTGACTGTTTTTTTTTTTTTTTTTGGAGAGATTTTCACTGTAGGGCGCGTGCGCTCGCCAGAGAGAGACAGAGAGACAGAAAGCGAGAAATCACCCCCCAGGGGGGATGGTCACGCTGCAATCCCTTCTCCTCCATTCTCCTCTCGGGATCTTGGGCACGCATGCACACACGCCCGGCGTGAGTTTTAAGCCACCGGGTCCGGGACGTGAACCACGGTCGACTACGTGGGAGTCCAGCGACATAGCCATTACGCTAACTGCTGGTTCCCGAGATGTGACTGTTTTCAAAGAGACATTCTTGAGACTGTTGGTGTATTGGAGACTGTTGCAAGGAACATTTTCATATGTTTCATAATCAACGAACATTGATAGTAGTATCTAACACATGAAATAGCAGCAGATTAAAAAATCTTTTATGTCATTATGGGAAAGGTGGTGATAGTTCTTAGCATGATGCTCTCACTATTAATTAGGCCAGATCTTTGCTAAGAGGAATGAAGAAATTCAAACATATTTATAAAATGTAATCCCTTGGCTTTTCTGACACTGAATGTTGTTGGGTTTTTCTGTTTGTTTTGGTTTGGTTTTGGAGAGCTGTTTGCTATAGGGTACATGCGCTTGAAAGACAGAGAGACAGAAAGTGAGAAATCACCCCCCAGTGGGGATGGCCACGCCACAATCCCTTCTCCTCCATTCTCCTCTTGGGATCTTGGGCACGCACCTGGAGTAGTTAAAGCCACCGGGTCTAGGACTCAAACCACAGTAGACTACATGGGAGTCCAGTGACATAGCCATTACACCAATTGGTGGTCCCAGCCCTGGATGTATATAGAAAGAAATAAGTCTGATTGGGACCAGCAGATGGTGTAGCAGTTAGGTTGCTGGGCTTCCACATGGCTGACCACAATTCGAATCTTGAACCCAGTGGCTTCAATCTCACACTGGGCACTTGGGTGTGTGCCCAAGATCCCAGGAGGAGAACAGAGAAGAAGGGATAGCAGTGTGGCCATCCCCTCTGGGGAATGATTTCTCACTTTCTGTCTCTCTGTATCTGTCCAGTGAGCACACACGCCCTGAAAGCAAAAATCTCTCAAAAAAGAAAAAAGAAAGGGAAGCTGAATAAGCCAGTCATACACTAGTATCATATAAGTACATTATTTTAGTTACTTGGCTTACACATTGTTTCATTATTTCTATTTTCCAAGTAGTTAAATTCTGAATTGGCTCTCTTAAAATTGTTACTTGCAAATCAATGGAACAGACTAGAAAGTCCAGAAATGGACAAAGTAAGAGGAATGTAGATTATCAAAAGCTAACATGCATGTGACAAAAAATAAAATGAGAAGTTTACTACAAAAACAAAAGGAATGGAGGAGACAAAAGGGAAAAAAAAAAAAACGGCCTTTCAAAATCAGGGAGAAAAGGATGGGATACTTCAGTAAATGATTTGAAACAAATAGATCAAAGATTAAAAATGCTGTTATAAAGTAGTGTTTCTGTTTTTGTTTTTGTTTTGTTTTTTTTTGAGAGGCTTTTGCTATAAGGCCCATGCGCTTACCAGAGAGACAGAAAGTGAGAAATCGCCCTCCAGCAGGGATGGCCATGCCGCAATCCCTTCTCCTCCATTCTCTCAGGATCTAGGGCATGCACGCATGCACATGCGCCCAGCATGAGTTTGAGCCACTGGGTCCTGGACTCGAACCATGGTCGACTACATGGGAGTCCAGCGACATAGCCATAACCCCAACTGCTGGTCCCTGTAAAGTAGTTTTATAAGAAAACATAAGTGGAATTCTCCCCCTCCCCCAGTTTTCTAGCCCAGGATCATCAAACTTCTTTCTTTAAAGAGCCAGATAGTAAATATTTTGCTTTTGTTCATGTAAAAGTTCCTAAAATTTAGCACAGATCAAAAATAATTAAAAGATACAGAAAAGGGAACTTAAACATGAAGATCTCAACTTTCTTAATGATAACAAAAGTGAAAAGTAAAACTACAAGTAATAATATCTCTCACCTGTTGTTTGTAAATTCAGAAGTTTCCTAGCCACTGGTGACCTGGCACTGGTTCTGTGGAGATCATTTTAGTAATGGGTATCACAGTTTGAAAGGGAATGTTTCAACGTTTCTAGTCATAGTATTTACTCCACAGATCTATTATAGAATAGCAGGAAATTCTGAATAATGACCCATATGTAGAATGGCCCACTGGGATACCTCTGGCACGATACTGTACAGTCATTAAACAGAAGGAGGCACTGATATGGGTAATCTAAGATAGATCATTCCGTGAGAACATCGAACTCAGCATCTGACTTGCATAAAATAAAACATACACTGGCATATGTCTACACAATCTATAGACAGAAACTTAAAACAGTGGGTCGTCCTTGGGGAGGAGGTCTTACTCAAAACTGGCTATCAGCTATACTTCCCTGTTGTAGGGTTTTGCCCAAGTATTGATTGTATTGTATTGTATTGAGAGAGTAAAATTAGTTGTCATTTTAGAAATGGGTCCTAAGTTAAATCTGATCCTTCCTTTCACTTTCTTATGTCTCTGAGTTAAAGAATGAGTTCTGGAACCAGCAGTTAGCGTAATGGCTATATCGCTGGACTCCCACGTAGTTGACCGCGGTTCACGTCCTGGACCCGGTGGCTTAAAACTCACACCGGGCGCGTGTGCGTGCGTGCCCAAGATCCCGAGAGGAGAATGGAGGAGAAGGGATTGCGGCGTGACCATCCCCCCTGGGGGGTGACTTCTCGCTTTCTGTCTCTGTCTCTCTCTGTCTGTCTGGCGAGCGCACGTGCCCTATAGCGAAAAACCTCTCAAAGAAAAGAAGAAAAAAAAAAAAAAAGAATGAGTTCTTAATGCCCTTAACCTTTGTTTAATATCTCATAAAGGTATAGTTAAGCTATGAATCTTCTTTGCTTAGGTTTAATTTTTATTCCTTCAAACAATGCCTTCCCATGGGCTCAGGGAAAGA